TATTTTCATATTTAATTTTATTTTTTACTTTTTTATATTTAATGTATCGTTTAATGCTGATAAAAGGAAATGGACTTTTCTGAAGAGAAAGCAGTAAATGTTTAAAACTCTATAACTCTGCAACGAAACGTCCGATTTCGATGATTTTTTTTTTTATTTTGTCGGCAATTCAGCAATTTTTCAGATAAATATGGGTATTTTTCATCAAAAATTGTGTACTTTTTTAGTTATCGACAAATAAAATATTGAATTCATCGTAACATTTTTTCAGCTTGTTTTGGATGTTATACACATAAATTAAAATGGTTTCAAGGGGAAGACTTTAGCCAAGTTTCGTTAAGATCTTGGCGCTACACTTTATAGCGACACATTTCTTTGTGGCTTTGGACAAAAAAACATTTAAATTTTTTTTACATATATAAAATTATCATAAGACAGGAGTACTATGCCAGAAACCTTCCCAGAAGTGTACGAAACACCTTCCCAAATTTTTAATGTCGATTGGATGAATGGTTTAGTAATGCATAAAGGACAAACAGACATACATACATTCATTTATATATATACAGATTATATATTACAAAATAATTTTTATATATTACAAAATTTCTACATATATATGTAGTGGTCAGAAGTTTTGTTTGATTAAAGCAAATGCTAAATTAAATTTTATAGTAACCTTCTACAGGAAAAATTATCATTGAATATTATTGAATCTGGCGAAGGTCCTTAGCTAACATCCTTGGTACCGTTGGAGACCGCAGAGTGTACAGTGTATCGGAGTTGGCGAGGCTCGACCTTGAACTGCGTTGGGCCTCTCAATAGGTCCTTCTGCTCTTCATTGTCTCCTCACTAGCCCAAGAATGCGGAGCCGCTTCGGATCTGTGTCCTCTTTGTGTAGTATCTATCCATTGTCATCCTTGCGTATGTTTATTTTTGTTTTGTAATATCAAAAGGCTTATTTACGAGTATGTTACCCGTGGGCCTTCCCTAGTCGAAATGGTAGGGGAAACCTGGGACTATAGATCGTACCATCATGAGTACATCCCTACATAACTGATAATTTTCTACATTAATAATGACCGGTAACCCACGTTTTTTAATATCTTATTTTTTAATATTTATCTTAGAAATAGGTTCTATTCATATTGGTTTCAATGTTATGAAATGTTCCATGAATTAGTTGGTTAGGCTTTTGTAAACGATGAAATTTTAGATACCCTAAAATATGTGTCAAAAAGCTAAGAACCAACTGTTACCAATCTAATCTTGCTTTATTGAAATATAATTGGTGTGCATCAGTGCATCAGGGGTAGCTAGTAGAGGTGGGTGGTTCTGCTACTTTTTAAAAACGTAAAACAACGGTTCTTAAGAACTGTTAAAAAAAAATAGTTCATAGAACAACGCAACGATTCATGTTGTAGTACCTATTCGTTTGATAACAGTCCTATTCGTTTTAAAACCGATTCAATTCGTTTAATGACAAGTCTGAAAATGAATGAAACGTTTTATGTATGAAGTTTGGCATTGTTCTAGCTTTAAATTGATAACCTTAAATTCATTTTTAATATTAGCCGAATGCTTAATCTTAAAAATTACTTTTTAACTAATTAAAACTGAAAATTATTTTTTACTCATAGAATACTTTTTATTTTAATAATATTTTAACTTTCTTTTATTAATCTTGTGGTTGTGATTTTGGACAAGTTCCTAAACTCTCAACGATGATTTTATTGATGAAATTCTTTTGCCCAGCGTAAAGATGAATCCGGTGCTATCGATAAGCTTAGGAATTTTTCCTTTTTCAAACAAATTTGTTATAAATGTTTTGCCATATTTCTTTATCAAGTGTTGTTCTTAGTTTGAAATTACGCTACTTGGCCATTATAAGTCTTTTAACTGTAGTTTAAAAAGGTTTTCAACTCTTTGCCTTTTTCAATTTTTATAAAACATAATAGTGTTTATAATTGTGGATTAATGGTTGACTGCAGTGAATAATTGAACAGAACAATGTTTTTTTTTTTTTTGTTTTTTTTTACTTATAAAATGTTTTTTATTTGTTTTTTTTTTTAAATTATACGTTTGGCGTTTTCTTTCCCACCCCTAGTAGTTAGGGGTAGTCGATAGAGCATGAGCTTCTTCTTCCACTACAATGTTACTGCTCTACTCTTCTTAAAAATAGTACAAGCGAAACTAAAATTTAAAAAATCGTAGATTATATACCAATTTCTGCCATAAATACTGTTACAAAAGTTGAACTTTGATTACATCCTTGTGTATTGTTGAGATAATCCTTATCTCCATCAGGTTATTTTCTTTACATGTCAGGATAATAATCCAAATAATTTTTTATTTTTCTTTCACTCAGTTAACATGGAGTGGGGTGATAAAGAAAACCGAATAGCAGTGATCGCCTTACGCAAAGTAAACAACACCTTGAAACCTTTGGGTATCAGCCGTAAGTTCGTGTACGGCACTTTAAATAGATATAATGAGACCGTATCTGTATGTGACAGACCTTGACCGGCAAATACAGTGAGAGCATGGCTGCTCGAATCAGAAGAAATCCTATTCGAAAACAACAAATCAAGTCTCGGCAGATAGGGATCTCTGTCAGATCAATGTCTCGCATAATAAAAAGACCTTAAGATGGGTACATTACGAAGAATGATAGTACAAAGGCTAACCATTTTCCTAAAAAAAAATTAGAGTGGATAGATGCAAAGTGCTCCTTGGCCAAAAATTTGCTCATCGCTAAACAAAATCGTTCGATGAAGACCATTTTACACCATGGTAATGGAAAGATTTTGTTTAGCGATAAGAAAATTTTTGGTCAAGGAGCGCTTTGCATCTTTGTGAAAAAGGAATTAAAACAGCCACTAAAAACTATCAGGAAGATATTTTGGAACCCGTTGTCAAGCCTCTAAATGATACTCTGTTTGCTAGAAGTCATTGGGTTTACAGTGAACATTTGTACATTTTTTTTTTTAACAATAATGAGATCCTCTGTTAATTAAGCTAATTTCAAATGTACCAGAATAATAATACAGATCCGCCTCGAGAAAATACATGATCAAGATTTAAGATAACAATAAAATTTTAAAATTCACTCCACAACTTGTGTGCAAAATGTACAATACTATCGAAAAAAAAAACGACTGTTACCGAAAAAGAAAATGTTAAATTAAAAATAAACAACTGATGGACAAAAGGTGTTACATAACACAATAAGCAGATATATGAGATAGAAATTAAGCAAATAAAAGATTAAGAGACATAAAACTTCAAAGGATCAGAAATTATTTTTTAATTTCTAATAATCTAGATGTGATGTCAAGAAAATTAGTTCAACTGTTGTCGTTTTATAAAAGATCTCTCAATATTTCTTTTACGTCTTTATTTTACTTTTCTATGCTATAATATATCAAATTTTAAAGATATAGCATAATAGTTACAAATTTGAAAAGATTGGATAGTAAAATAGGGTTTTGAGTAGTCGGAATCGAACTTATTAGTCGCATGGATCGGATGTGAATTGCTTGTCGAGATTATATCCAAGGTAATGGATATGTTATACAATTCTTAACAGTAGACAGGTACCGGATACGCTAGAAAGGATATAGTATGTTTTAAACGTAGATAGCGTGTGATTTTCAAGCATTCTTTATCTTAGGTTTGCAGTTTTAATACCATCCATTATAGCTCCTCGTATTCAAGGAAAAAGAATGAAGAATTTCACACATTTGTTTTCTGATGGCGAGAATGTGCCATCAAGATAACAGATAAATTATGTTATAGAGGGACAGAGAGAGATACTTTATTTTCATATAAAATATAAAAGCTTGCTGCTCAATTATATTGGGTTGCCATACGCACACGCACAGCATACTCGTTAATCTGTTGGACAATAAATAAACTTATATATAAATATACAGAAGTGAGTTAGTTTATATGAGTATAATAAATGTAAATATTATATATATAATAAATGATATATTAAAGCGAAATTAAAGCGAATATATATATATATATATATATATATATATATATATATATATATATATATATATATATATATATATATATCGATTTAATTAAGAGCTATAATTGAAATCATACTATTTTCAATCATTTGGTTAAAATCGCTCTTTTCAATTTTATTTCTAGGCATCAGTCTGCTGTCGAAGATTAGTCCAAGGTAAAGTGCTTACGTTGCAGTTATTGTTTTCTGATAGTCGATATGTATTGTTTTATTTATTTTTTAAAATTAAATTACCTAATACTGGGCTCTTGATTATGTATATATATATATATATATATATATATATATATATATATATATATATATATATATATATATATATATTCCTTTCATTGTTCATGCTTTTTTTTAACATTTAAGTTCCCTTTCTCTCACCTCTCTCTTAAGACACCTTAGTCCCGCAAAGGTATCTTCGATTAAATAGTAAAAGATTAAAAAATATTTTCAAAAATTTTAAATTTAATAAATCGCTCAAACACAAGGTCACTAAAATATTTATTGCTTGAGTAATTTCACTCAGAAAGCTCATTTCACTCCTGTTGTGTCAATTATAGACTTTTTTTTCCCCCACAAGCCGTGGCACGCGGAACTTAGTGCAGCCAAAAAAATTGGGAACCGTTGCTTTAGACAATTGAAGACAATCTTATAAACTTTTCCGACTTGTACTTCAAATTTCTTGCTTTTGTAATTTTTTTTCTAGCCTTAATAGAAGGATATTATCTATTTGTAGGTCTCATCTAATTAGGGAAGGCTTTTGTATTAAAATACTTTTTAAAAATTATTATTTTTTTATTTTTTACTAGGGATAGTTTTATTAAAGAAATATTTGCAAACTACCTAATTTCTCCTGTAATAATACTAGAAGAGATATCGCATATTTATTTATTTTCATTCATTTCGTATTTTCATTTTTTCGCTGTTAGGAATTTTTATTTCATTTTATTTGTAAAATAAAATATTATAAAAAAAAAGAAATGTACATTGTTAAATAAATTAACTCCTTACTGATAACAAACCAATAAATTGGAGATCTCACAGAATTCGGTACTTGTCGAACAGAGAGAAACAATTTTATAGTTCGGTACACATCGTGTCGTATAATGCAGTATCCTGCTGTTTTGTCTGATGCGCTGTGTCTGATACGAGCCGTGTCATTTTGCATGATATAAAATCACCGTGATTCTGTTCCGTACTCTTGACGCAGTGTCTTCTATACTAAAACCACTAATTCTATTCGCTCACTAATGTTCAGGTGTTTACAGTCGAACCCTAGTTCGCCTAGCATTTCATAATTTGTTGTAGCAAACGACGTTTCATATTGATCGGGACTAAGTGTTAATTTTAGAGCTCTCAAACGTCTAGTAAGTAAAGAAAACGTCTTCGATCCTCACATTGGTATTTTATCAGACAGCGTCGATTATCGTTAGCAGTTAATAAACTCTCTAATCTAATCAGTAAAAATGATCTTGAGACGTCCTTTTTTTTCCGTTTAGGTTGTTATTGTGCAGTGACGATGTTATTAGCTGGTAAGATAAGTATATTCTATATTATTGTTTTCATATTTGTAATAGAATATTGACCGTTGTTGAAGTAACTACGATTGAAGAGGTGTTCTAGTGATATGGTTTAGTTGTGGATCGGTGTGGTATTAACAAATATAATCCATAATGGTTTTAAATAGCGAAAAAGACATTGATGAAAATGTCATCAGAGATAAAAATATCATACGAAAAAAAGACTCTTCCAGAAATTTGGATTATTTCAACAAATTCAGCAAGGAAACTTGTATCAATGGAAATGGATTTTTGGAGAAGAAGATGTAGAATTGTAACACGTTACAATCAACTCCATCAGGAATAAAGTAAAATAAGCCCCTTAACGTCCTATTGGTTTAGACACGTCATTAGAATGTCGGACGACCGATAGTCTAAAAGAAGTTAAGCATGTACCACGGAAGAGAAGGAATACATGAGGCAATGACTGGAAGAGGACCCCAAGATGAAGGTAACATATGACCTGGTCTCATAATCAACGTTTGTATATAAATATATGTTTGTTAAAAGAGTGTTTATTATTATTCCACTCTGTATTATTATGCCTAGTAGGTAGAACTCTTCAACACTCAAAGAAAAGATACTAGGGGTACTCATGCAGCCAGTGCTAAATATTTTAAACCTATTAACTGTGTTAAAGTCGAAAAACTTATTAAAGATATGTATGTTAAATATGGTCGCTAGCACACTCGTTTTTAATTCAGCCTGAGGTTCTTTAAAGTTTTGCTAATTTCGTATAAGCACGGAGTAGGTTAAAGTGAGGTTTCGATGTCGCATTTAGTTCTTTGTTTATTGTTTATTTACACTACCTAATATAAAAAAAGAGACTTAACAGCCAGAATTTCATCAATTTCTATGCCTTCTGAATCTTCATTAATGATTTCTATCTATAAATAATGAATCAAACAATCTAGCAACTCTGTATTTTTACTTCGCTTTAACATATTTAAAAAATAAATCGACATTTTTAGATCAATTAATCAAGAGAACTCACAAAATGTGTTTATAATATAATCACAACCTTAGTGTTATTAATAACACTTTAGCAGGTTGGCACACAGGGTCATTTATCATTCATTTAAACTTTGTGCTGATTGGTTTGTGTATGATACCACATTAAGCATTTACCACAAGCTGGGTGAATATCTCTAATCATTTGTTATTCATTCTTGGAATGACGTAGGAAGACCATGATGGGAAACATATAATTTCTTTGACCAGAAGATGAAGGAACAATCATTTGTTGATGTTCATTGAGAGAAGTAGTGCAGGTTTCAAAGAAGGTTCTAAGACAAAAAAAGGGAATTTTGTTGAAATATTTGTAACAAGAAAGAACCTTGGAAATATTACCTCCTGGACCCTTTGGAATCTAAAACAGTCGAAAAGGAATGAATATAGCAAACCTAATAAAATCGCACTCCATTTGATTACAATAGTCTTAATGTCGACCGATCGAAAATCTTAAATTCAAGCTTTGATCAGACTTATGAGATTTTAGGAATATAATACTGTGGGTTTTTTTTTCTTCGTTCAGTACAAACATCCATTTGCCACGAACTACAATTTGTTTTTATACATCCGTTTTTATAATCCGTATCAACGTTTATCATTTAAGTGAAAACCGATTAAATCTTCACGCCTTGTATTAGATAATGGAGAGAATTGCAGTGGAGAAATATCACTGTAAAGTTATTAAATGTTACTTTAAATACCTCATATTTGTATAAATATAACAGGAAGGAGATGGTCCGGGGTAGCGGTCATAAATAGGCTAAATAGTGGCAAAACTATTTTATTAAAAGCCAACGTTTCGACCCGACTTTTCAGGTATTCTTCAGGGCTAGAACGGACAAGATACAAAAAAATATAGAGAATTGTGGAAGTTACATAAGATTTAGAAAAAAAAAATTATAAACAATGTGAATAAGCTTATTAAAATTATAAACAGTAAGTACATTAAAATATAAACAGAGTAAGCTAAGTAACAAGATCCTAAACTGAAGTAAAAAGCTGGTAACAATTGTTATAGTGTAATATATAATATATGCAAATGTAGATATACTTCTACAGATCTACGGAAGAGATTGAAAAAGAAGAAAAAAGGATATAATATGAAATAATGGACAAATAGGAATGTGGAGAAAGAAAAGAGAACCAAAAATAAATAAATATATAAAATTAGAAGAATAAAAATGGAGACTTACAGGTATGTTTCACATAGAACTGGAAAATAAGGATAAGGGTAGGTATTGGGGAATTTTGCTGACCTGAATTTGCTGATTTTGAAGACATAGATGGATACGAGGGAAAAAATACTATATCTATGAAATAATAAATTGTAAATATATACATATACATATAAAATATAATTAAGAAATTATAGATAATGTGCAACGTGAACAAAAACAAAAATGGAAGAAGTAACATAGAAGTAAAATATAAATGTAGAAATAAGATACCATACATTGCAGAACTGCTTAAAAAGTATAGAGAGGGAAAAAAAAATTAATAATTATATACGTTGGCTTTCAATAAAATAGTTTTGCCACTATTTAACCTATTTATGACCGCCACCCCGGACCATCTCCTTCCTTTATAATGCTACGGTCAACTAATAAATATTCAATAAATATATCAGCTTTAAGCTGTCGAGCTTTGCTCGATCAAAGCATGAAGAGAAACTTCCATCAGGACCTTTCTAAGTCGGAGGTCCTTTCAGCGACTGTGATATAGATAACCATATAGTGAGGCCGTGCTGGTCGTAAGTGTTAAAGCTTCATAACCTTTTGCGACTTGAAGTATAATGGTGCCGGTTCGACTTTCCCGTTGTTGTTAGAATAGGTAGGTTATCTTTGTAAAATATCACAATAACCTCCTCTCTCCTCGTTTCGAAGAAATGGAGAGTTCGATATTTTTTTTTTTTTAATTTATTTACGATATTTACAACTGTATTAATAAATAAAATACATTTAGTAAATTTGATAACAGAAAATAATAACATGAAATAACTCGTTGTGAAACTACCAACTGGTGGCACTCTAAAAAAAAATGTATTTACAATAGCAGATCTCGAGGCCATTGAATTGCCTCTTTTCAGACGCCTCGGAGAATTATCAGGGATAAAAGAGGAAGCAAGGTTAGATACGAGAGTATTTGGATGGTTCTGAAGTTTATTATGGAAGGATAGGTATCTGGATTGGTCCAAATCGGAAACATAAGGAACATTAAGGTTGTTATGGATTATTTTATTGGTGACAAAGCAAGGAGCATTGAGGATTTTCAGAAGGATTTTTTATTGTAAGGATTGGATACGAGAGGAATTCGATGGCTTAGTGGAGCCCCAAAGCTCAACTCCGTAAGTCCACATAGCCCTTATTGTAGTCATGTATATGAGTCGCTTGTAATTAATTGGAAGCTTAGACTTTTTATCTATTAAGTGTTGGAGTAGTCGGAAAGGTCGAGCGGTTTCTTGTCGTTTCAGTCTGGTATGAGGATTCCAAGTTAGACGTTTGTCCAAGTGGAGTCCAAGGTATCGGATTTCGATATTTTTAAATTATATAAACATTGGTCTTGTATATTTTTTAAAGCGGAAATAAGTTAACAATCAGTTAGTGATATAAACCTTTTAAAATTAAGATAAATTATAATCTATTTAACTACCGACTGAAAGATGGCATGGGGCCCATATGTAAAAATAATATGTAAGAAACTTAAACAAGCGACTCAAATTACGTCACCCTATATTTTCAAAACTGAAATTGAGACAGAAACTGAATTCAGACAGTAAACAGTAAACACAGACATATATATATATATATGTATATATATATATGTATATATATATATATATATATATATATATATATATATATATATATATATATATATATATATATATATATCTGTGTTTACTGTCTGTGTCAGTGTTTACTTAAACCCATACTTATAACATATATACATATTGTATAAATATATAATAAATAGATCTTAGTATTTTTATTATTAATGATCTATTTACAAATGTATGTATAACTTCCAAAAAAGTAGTAATAGGCTAGTTTTCCTTGGTTGCTAAGATAAATTATATATAGGGATATATATTATTATATATATATATAAAGTTTAATACCTGAGATCCGGATACCAATTTGGTCCCTAAGAAGCCCTTTTGCCCGCTTAGCGCATAATCTATTCCTGCATTTAGACTATCCTCGGTGCCCCCGAACTAAACTACTTCCCCTTTTGACGGACAAAGAGGCCATCCGGGAAATCCAACGCTTCTCCATGTGCTTCATCCGCTGCATTGTGAGGCCAATGATCTTAAAAACTGGCCAAAATATGAAATATTCAGTAATTTGTCGAAACATCTAATACAACAGAAAATCGAATAGAATCAGAATTACTTAATTTTACATCAAATTAAAAAAAAATTTATACTGACTTCTGAATTGTTCACGGTATTTAAATTTTGAGATATTTTAGTCCAAATTTTTAAAAAAGTCGTTATTATTTCGTATTTTCAAGGTATCTTTTTCCCTTTCCGATACTTTAACTCGGCGTCACTTCAAAATACAGTTATGAATTATATATAACTCAATACAAAAAGGAATGATGAAAATTTTAGATTTAGATATTTTAATCCAAATACAAGAATTAGTCGACTTGAGCCAACTTTATCCGAATGACCGTCACATAGCTGAGAGTGAATGGCCAGTGTAAAGTGCTAAGTGCAGCTAAAGAAGTTTTCAATTTAAAAATATATTTTTTTACTAATTAAACAATTTTCGCTGGAAAACATCGGACTGTTAATTGAGAACTAGTTAGCTGAGGCGGGGATAGAGGGCGTAGGATGCACTAGCAATTAGCTGTTAGTGAGAACGAAATACAATTGTGGTGCAATTTTTTAAAATAGTCCGCTTGTAATGACCGAGGAGCAACCGGAACTTGAGTCCTTGCCAGTTTCCGGCCTCCGCTAACTCAATTCGGTTCGCAATGGTGTCTAGATCATAGGAGTTTAGATATACATCACCATGTATTCCTGATGCCACGTTTAATTCATGGACGGAGAATGCCGTCAAGGTGTGTTGTTATTTTCTAGCAAGAGATCGACTATTGAATCAGTAAAATCTCAGGGTGGAGAATTCGATTAACTGATCCAATCCAACGGTCATGCTCCTTATCTTGTCTAAAAGAAGAGTAAAGGATGGTGGAGGGATGGTTTTTCGACTAATGTATTTTTCAATATTTTATCCTAAAATCATTGAAAAATCCTCCATCAAAAATATTTCAGCTGTTTAAATCAGTAACAATATTATGTCCATCTAGCCACCGCTATTATAGAATTTGCCAAAGCTTCATTTTAAAAATATAGTATTTTTTATTTTGTAATGTATGCTCCTGCAGCTAGTCCTTGCTCCACACAATAGATGGTATATGAAGATTTTACATAATATTACTC